GACGGGGGGAGGGCGGGGGGGGGGTAGGTCGACAAAACAATTTTGTTCCGGAAAAAAATTTTTTTAACCAGTCAGTTGAATTGAATTACACCCCCCTGAAGAATTTCCTGAGGACGGCCCTGAACCTGCCTTGCATATATGAGGCTAGATTCGCCCCTGAATTCAAACTTGTATATTTTTCGATATGTACCTTTTTAAATTCCTCAAAATCAATGGCATCGTCACTATCTGCATCAGCATCTTGGATAGTTCTGTGCGCAATCAATTCCAACTGTTCCTTCCCAATACTCACACCCACCATCATTTCCAAAATCTAAACATATAATTATATATTGGTAGATTTCAGTATAAGCATAATACTAAGCAGAGACTTGGGCGTGATCAACTTTTGAAATGTTGAAATGCGAAACACCAATAGACCTTTTTCCCCTTATGAGTGAAATTTTGATCTGGACAAGTCTGGACAAAAATTTCATCACAGCTTGAAAGAGCATCACAAAATTAGTAATATTCCAAAGTTTCGTTGTGAAATCTTGTAAAATGCGGATAATATAGCCTTGTGAAGTTTGCCGTTTTTCAGTCATTTTGCATTACAAATGGGAAATAATCAGTTTGATCATCTGATTAACCACGGTTTTGGTGTGAAACACACATTGACTTGCGATTACCTTTAACAAATCTGCCTTGGTGATGTTTCCGTCTTTATCAATGTCATAGATGCTAAATATAACTAAAAGAATTGAACCATTAGCAGTCCATTCAACTACACACAACACAGCCTAAATGTATGGGGGATGTATATTTTCCAAGGGGATGTGACTGCATAAAAATAACATTGATATTTCCAACATACATTTGAGCTTCTCTTCTTCAGTATTCAAAGGATTCTGTCCCCTTTTTGAACACCGCCGAAAGTGCGCCAATGTTTTCATGAACTCTCGAAAGTTGCAACCTTCTTGCTCGCTTAAAAAAAACAAACATTACACATTATTTTCAGTTGCGTCTTGCATCAACAGCTTCCATAATATCAAGGGTGGGTTGACTACAAAATTTTTGTA